AACATTTTGACTACAATATTACATTTTACCGGAACGTACTTAGGCGGAAGTTCCACTATCCGTAACCCGGATGGAGACGGACGGCCGCGGGAGCTTAAATACACGCAGCGCCCACCCGATACAGCGGAAGACATGACGGAAGACACGTTCGCCCACCCGATACAACGGAAGACATGACGGGAGACATGTTTTAACTTCGCCGTTTTCTATCAATGGATTCGAAACGACGACGTGTAGGTGACTTTTTATTGGCGTGCGTTTTACTGTAATTGCGAACGATTTTAACTTTATTTACTTACGTCCTGTAGATCGCGGGACTAGTTTAAAAAGCAACGCCCACTCGATACAACGGGAGACACGACGGACGAAACGTGTTCGCTTTGCCGTTTTCTATCATAGGATCCGAAACGACGTGAAAGTGAGTTTTTATTGCCGTGCATTTTACTGTAATCGCGAAAGATTTTACCTTTATTCACTTACGTCCTGTAGATCATGGCATCGAAACGAAGAGCAACCGAACAAAACAAAACAAGCCAAAATAGACTCATTTTTTCCCAAGATGTAAAAAAATCAACATGAAAACAAGATGTAAAAAAATCAACATTAAAATACTGTACGTCCTGTACTGTGTTGTGATTTTTTTAGTACTCTACACCTGTACTGTATACTGTATTGCAGTTTTTGTTATATAAACAGTTTTTGGACAGTATATTTTTGCATTTTATTGCTTGCGTTGTTACACGTGCATTTTGTCAACATACTTGCAGGTTCATAAAGGACATGTACCATGCTCATTTCCCAAATAAGGAAATTTTGTTATAAGGACAGATTGGACAGCACAAACGTGAGTCCATACTAGAGAATATTTACTCCATTGACACGAAGGACATTGACATTGAATCTTAATTTTTAGCACCATCTCAAGAGTGTTAATTTGAGAAAATTCTCATATTTACCGGGCTCGGTGAAGTCCTTGAAATCCTTCTTGGCGAGCATGATCAACAAGTGAAGCATCTTGACACTTAAAAGTTATTAGGAGAAGCAGTATTCAACCATTTTGACATGCACATTGTTGATGAATCCATCACTTGTTATTCTTTACTTTTTTTTGGGGGAGAATAAAATCGCAAATATTGAATCAATAATTTATTGAAGAAGTGTAATGATGACAAAATTCCCATTGACTGACATGGTCAATTTGGGCAAATTCATGACATTATGTGGCATAGACTCCTCTGTCCTGAACCGATTCTTACAAACTTGGTATCATTTTCGTCAGGGTACAAATATTGATCTATTAGTGATGGGTCCAGCAACACTGATGTGTCGATGCACGCGTCGAGCTCACAGAGCAACCCCTGCGTCTGCACGTGTACTGCTTCAAGACAATCACGTGACCAACACATAAAGTGCGTCGACTCAGTCCAGGCTGCGTCGACGCCGCAAAAGCCCGGCAAACTGTGTTTATAAGGAAGTGCATCAAGCGATGCGATGGCGCCTGCCGAAACAAGCCAGACCTCACCAACGCTCGAATAAAAATATATATTTGGGCAAAAAGGAAAACACACAGATTCTCAGAAAGTGACTTCAAGTGTCGTGTCGGCTAGGCTATCTTAGCTGTTGTCGTAGTTCAAAGCTTCTTTGATATGTGACGTGGGTTGCGTCGCCGCCGTGAGTACGTGCTCGCACTCACGCGCGCACAGCAGAGAGGACTGGACTATCGACTGCTGAGGCTTCACTCGAGTGGCGTTGCTACAGTACGTGCAAATTATGGAGCAGCTCCCGGAGAAACTCAAATTGTCCGCCGTGTAGGGCCATTTTGATCTCCTTTTGGAGAAAAATGTATTTATTCAAATCTCCTTGTCTCACCAAGTGCCTCTCGGATTTTTGACACGTCTTATTCCATTGTAATTCAAATTAATTTCAAGGTAACTCTTAGTTTACTTTTCACATATTTTATTGCAGGTGAAATGTCGAGTTTGCCACACAGAAATATCACATACTGTACCAACAAAAGCACCTCTGCAACTACATCTGGCATGTTCCTCATCATTATTAGTTTGTTTTTTTGGAAACTGTTCTAAATGCCAATTTTGTTATGTTTGGTTTTTTAGATGACCTGTGGCAACATTTGGATGATGAGGTCGTGAGACTGGGAAGAAGTGCAACAGCAGATGCTATACCTGAGGTCCAGCGATACCTGGCAGAGGGGAAAATTGCACGCAGTCAAGACCCGCTGTTATCATCGAAGGACGAACACGATACTTTTCCAAACCTCTCCCACCTCGCAAAGCAGTCTCTCTGTACGCCGGTGTCACCAGTGCCATGTGAGCGTGTGTTCTCCACAGCAGGGGAAATAGCATGCAAGAAACGCAACAGACTGAAATTCAAAACACTGGAGCAATTTATTTTTCTGAATAAAAATTTGTGAAGACAAAGCCCACAAGCATCCTCATTTACATAAATTTCACATTATTCAAACATATTGAATAATACAATATGAATGCATGGATGTCAATGATATTATATACACTTCATCATCAAATCAGTCAGTTCAGTCTGTCAAGTGGGTTGCCTGCAGGGAGTTTGAAAGTCCAGCAGGTGTCAGTGGTCAGCAACACAGTATCAACACAGTTTGTCATTGTGTCAACACGCTTCATGAGGCCTCATGGACCCATCACTACGATCTATCATACAGATATAACATTATAAAAAAAAAATCAGAGAGAGGTGATTGTGATCAGAGATGGAAATGTGAATTGGGAAAACGAGTCCTCGAGAAAGCAACTAAAACAGGTAACAGAGAGTTTTTATCTGATGCAGAAGACACAAAGTCTCAATGAAACAAAGTAACAGCAGGACTTTGAAAAGCCATGGCAAATCGACTTTCTTGAAATAAAAGTTCCAAATAATGGAAACACCAAAAAGACAGGGCGGAAAATCAAGAAACTAACGAGAGGAAATAATTTGAGAAAACAGAAATAGAATGGTGGAATATTGATCATAATGCTCAATAAATGAAACAATGGTTGGAGGGAAAGCATTTGACACGGGTTATAATATTCTGCTTCTAATTGGTCGAAATTGAATCTCACAAACTGAGGTGTGATCCCGGTGTCTCCCCCAGTCTGATGTTGCTCACATGAGGTCCAAGGAATGCTCGGGGAGTTTTTGTGAATGTTTGGTCGCATGGAAATTAGAGGGAACATTGGTTTCCACCATTACACGCCGAACCCTTAAAGATGCTCATCCATGTGCAGGAACTTGTTGGACGTGCCTTTGGGGAGCTCAAACTGGGAAGGTCGCGGGAACATGGATTGGTAAAATATTGCCAACTTTTTTTTCACTTCCTGAGCTCTGCTTTGGGTGTGGTCAAGGTCATCGTTTATGCAGATGAACTTCCTGTCGGAATAAGTGCAGAAGCTATTCCAAGGCCAGGAACTGAAATGTGTGCATCGCTTTTGAATGCATTGAGGGTTCTTCTTACCTTGGTCGTTTACGAATGTCATCAAAAATGCGATCCGCCTCAGCCAAGTTATTGTGAAGCATCTTGAAATGAACCTGGTCCTCCCCCATGATCTGATATCTGTTAGAAAGTTGACTGATCAGCAGAAGAATAGGGATTTAGTTGATCTCAACACATTGTCAGAGGAGCTCTCACTTGTACTTCTTCTGGTCTGGAAAGGTACTGCGAATGCGATCTATGATAGGTTTGCAGTTCATGATGAGTTTTTTAGTGACCTGAGACTGTAGATGACGAAACCATTGAATTATCATCATGACTCAAAAGTTAGTTGGACAGGTGAGTAACTACTAAATGAGGGTTTTTCGGATGACTCGAAATGCCGACCATCTTTTGGTCACGGTAGACCTCCTGACTGGGTTCCAGCTCCCTGACGTCATTTGGAAGACTTTTTGAGCAGTTGATCAACTGATTCTCCAAGCTCGTCAAGTCCTAGAAGTAGCCACAGAATAACGGATTACTCATTCAATCCAAATTACTTTTGGCCATGAAATGTCTCATGAACAGACCACCTCGGGTTCGAGTGGCTGCTGGTAGATTTTCACGGCCAGAGCTTCAATCTCACTTTCAGACAGAACGCCCGAGTGGTCCTTGTCAGCAGCGTCAAACACTTTTGAGATGTTAGCCTGCTGCTTGACGCTCATCAGGAAATAAAAGTAGGAAAAGGCATATTGCATGTCTTGTCGGTGACGCAAATGGTGGCTTGAGGTCTCGTAGAATTCTTGTGGGAATCTGCAGAAAAAAGAGCAAGGTACCCTCAGCGGTCAGCACTCAAGAAGGGCTGAGATTACAACTCGTTAGCACTCACGTATCCTGCAGCTCCTGCATCACAAGCTTGTCAATCATATAGGGCGCGTGTGAGATCACCTTTCGGATCATGCCGCCAAACTTGAGGTTGTACAGCCTGTTTACGCGGTGCAGTATGGCAGTAAAAGTGTCCTGCAGCTTTCGACCAATCATGGCACCATTTGTCTCATACATTAGTGCTCTTTGTAGATGAACATCTTCCTTTTACATCAAAAGAAAAGGATGCCACTTAAGATGGCATGATACAAAGTTAGAATAGGTCGCACTTACCTCAAGTAGTTCTTGAAAAGATTTGAGGAATCCCTTGAAAGAAGCAACAAACTGTTGGACGTTCATCCCCAAAGGAGCTTTCCAGTCAACCATTTCCGTGTTGATCTGTTTTTTCTCCCCATGCTGTTTGCTCTGGATATGGGGATCTCTGTTCTCATTCTCGTTTGAGAAGAAGCTCGGTGGTTTTTGTGTCACGCTTGACTTCTGGCTTGTTGCCTGGGTCTTCTTAGCTTGAGATGGATCACTGTCACGAGCACTTCTGATAGACCTGAGGTTTCTTCCTTCAAAAGTCCAAAAACGTGCGCAATGTCTTAAAAGGCAGATGCATCCAATTGTGCGGCACCACTGTCGTTGATCACTACCTTTGCAGTCGCCTCCGTCCCATTGACAGGCGGCATTGTTGCATTGTTCATTACAAAGACCGTTGTTGATCCAGTTTCCTGGACAGCCTTTTGAACAGGCGCCTAAAGGCCAGGCTAAATAGACCTGCAGGGAAGTCAAAGGACGGTTGTGTTGGTTTGAAAAAGAGTTGTCAAAATTAATTGATATCCGTTTGATGCTCAAAGTTGATGCTCGTCTATTTTCATTACTTTCTGCCCATCGGTTGGGGTGTAGAAGTCGTCCAGCCATGCGTCTTTGCCAAACATCATGTCATCGTTGAGGTAAAGGAACTTTTGCGAGATGCCTGGGATGCGATGAAGGTGGCTTTCGATAGCGTGCGAGTTGAAGTTGGGGAGATGGCTCATGTTCAGGAAGATTTCCTGAAATTCAGAGATGCAGAACGTGTATATTTGACAGAAGTGATCCGAACGTGTCCCTGCTTCGTGCCCGAGCAGTTGGGGATTTAAGTGTGAGAGGCTCCAATTCTACCTTGTGTGTGACAATTGAAACACGGGGGTTTTGCAGGTTGAGCCAGGAGGGAATCTGCCCGTTCGTGACGATGTAGACGTGTCGCACCCACGGCGCATGTTTCTCCATGGAGCGTAAGGAATAGAGGAGAGCACCGTTCTCCTCGAAGCGGTTGGCTGTGAGAGAGTCCCTGGTCTCTTTTTTGGGAGGGGCAGGCCGCTTCTGTGAAAACTAAGGAAAAAGGTTCGACAGTGTAAGAGAGGTTCTAATGATACATCACGTCAATTTGCGGTGTTGTCATGGCATACGACCTCTGTGATGGCCCTCATGTCCCAGAACAAGTATACAGGGCTGATGGTCAGCTTCTTCCCATCCAGTTTCAGTCTGCTACTTTTCGCTAATTGCAGGAGAAAAATGAAGTCCTGTGGCGTTTTAAGGTAGAGCAGAGCGATGCCGGCGCCCGGGTACAACTCAAACTGAGGAACACATTGCCAGACAAGGCCATCTGTCACGTTCTTGGTCAGAAAACAACCCCACATATGAAACAAACTTTACCGCAGTTATCCTGCTCTTTACGGTGGCCGACAATTTGCCTCGCAGCATCTCTGATACTTTGTAGGACTGCGGGAAGCCAGTTAGGTAGGCCAAGTTCTCCATTTGGATCAGACCTGGCGCCTCTTTGTCTGTCGTCTGGAAAACACAACATAACAGCCATGCAGTGATGCCATGCTGAGACACGACATAAGCTCCCGAGAATGTCCATGAGAATCAAAATTCACCACGTAGCATTTGGAGATTGAGATTTTCTCGATTTTGAGCGTGCCTGTCAAGGCCTCTTCAGCTGGAAGACAAACCAAGAAGCTTAAAGAAAAAGCATCGGCCATGGCGTAAATATAGCATGAAAATTTCTTGCCGCAGGTCAGCCTGATGCAGAGATTTACCGTCAGCTCGTGAATGGAATACGACCACGGAGACAGTGTTGGATGGTTGCAGGGGTTTGGTAAACTGCAGCAGGGCCTTGGCAGGCGAGAAGGAGGGCAAGACCGAGGGTAGCTCTCGAGTGGTCATGTTGGCCGGAAGGCCAGGATTAAGCGCCACCATTGGTGCCACGATGCATTGAGACAGCGGGCATTCTGGCTTGACACTGGAAACAAGAAAGAAAATTTCTTTTTCTCTCCTCTATGAAGTTTCGACCCAGTGAAAAACTTGATCTAGGCAAGGACAAATTGAAAAATAAGTCTTGCCCGCTGGTCCAATTTCCAGGAATGTCTTCTCATTCACAACGGATTCTGTAGTTACTTAACACTCGATACTCTTGGGCAGGCTCATATTCAGGGTTCCTCGTGGGGGTTGACACAGAGCATGGGGACCGTGGCTTGCCCATCAGGCTTCAGCACAGTTTTGTTTGCCCAGCTGCTTCCATGGGCGGCCCTGCCTGTCCTTTGGTTTTACAGGTTACGCACTTATCCCCTATTTTTTCCGATTTTTCACGAACCTCTTCCGGGGGTGCTACATGTCTTGAGTGATTGTGGGATTCTGATCAAGGGGTTTTGCACTCCTCACCCACCTCAGAAGAGCTTGTTCTGCATCCAGTTGCTCTTTGGCCACCATCAGGTCACTCTGTAGGCTCACGTCTGTGCCATTCACCCACGTGTACACCAGATCGATGGGAATGGGTGTACACTCTCTGACAGAGAAGAAGAAATCAACCCACTCGGACGATGTCAATGTGAAGGGAGCTCTTCTTGTGGTTTAAACTTGTTGAATCATATTGGCAGCACTCGGTGACATTGTTGTTGAAGTGCACTATTCAGTGGAGTTGAGAAAACGCCGTGGGCTGATTCCTCACCTGCTGTGGAATGATGTACATTTATCTACCTTCTTGTCTCCCTTGTCTTCGGGAACCTCATTCGACTGGTAAGACCAGTCCTCACTCTGCAGTTTCTCTAGCTGCACACATGAGAGTCACATCTGGTGATGACTTGCATTGTGATGACATCGTCCGTGTGATTTCGTACACTTTAACCGCCTCTACTCACTTGTAAAACGCAGCAGATTAGCTGGTGTTCAACTCTAGGGTACATGTTGTTATTTTTAAATGTAAATTTCGAAAGTTCTCACATACTTCAGCAACATTACGTTTCATCTCGGAATGTTTCGACTCATTTTGCTTTGGAGGATCACGTATGTCTCTTGAAAATGATGAGTTTTTTACAAATATCCTTCCACAAATATCCTTCCACCGCAAATCATAATTATACGCAGATTGTTTCAACAGCCGAGAGCGCCGGTCAGTTTTGGGCAAAATGTCTTCAAATAAATCGACTCTGAGACATTTTGGGCCAACGAAGCCAGAGGCGACTCACCTCTGCCATGCGATTAAGGCGCAGCATCACGAGAATGAGGGCTCCACAGCAGACTAGAACTTTGTATCCAAAGACGGATGTCCGCCAGCCTCCGAAATAGCCTGCGTACCTTTCGGCCGGCTGCCATGAGTCCTGACAGAGAACATCGTTGGATACTTCTTAACTGAACGGACATAATTCCGACAAGCATTGACCATGAGCATTTCATTCGTCAAGCCAGGCAGCAAAGCTGGATGT